TTCATCCAACACTTGTCCCTTTATGTCTGTAAAAGTAGCATTATATTTAAACTTGAGCAATTTAAAATTAATACGTTTTCTCGTTTGGTAAATACAGTAAATAACAGTCATGTCAGTAAGTATATTTCACGTTATGCTATCAAAAATCTTAAACATTTTAATTCGATTCGAGTCTATAGAAACAATAAAGCCAAATATTTATTATAAGTGAAAAAGAAAACGACCTGTCACTGCACAGTTTATGTCATTGGATACGTAGGTGGTTGGTGTGCTGTTACGACTAGCAATGAACAGATTCCGGATAATATTCCTCTCGTAGGAAGATTTAAAAACTTTTTCTCAATTTCCGCTGCTCGAAAATACGCGAAAGAAAGTAATCCTGCTCGACGTAGCGAACTAAAACAGTGTCGTGCCATATCGAGGAGCAAGTCTGCTCCAAAAATCCTCTCGATTCTAAAGAAAAAGCAACCGCTAAACGACTCCTGGAAGGTGATGCAGTTCAATGAGACAGAATAAGAACGCAACGCAACAAAAATAAAGAAGCCGATTGTACATCTTTTTCCCCAGCTAGTGAAAACATATCAATGTGAAATATTATTTCACATTTTTCCTACTTTATGCGAAACATGTACATGATAAATTTTTTAAGCACCGCGTTATTCTACTTAAGTTAATTATAATATAAAATAAAAGTTGTTTTAATACAAACACTACATATTGGACTATGTGTTGTACGTACGGTTCGGAAAATTATTGTACATAGATTTCAAATATGCTTATTTGCTTTCATAAGACAATTTCACTCCCCCAAGAGAAAGTAATAAAACGTAGAGTAAATTGCAAGTAGAGTTGTTATAAATTCTGTCGCTTTTTGCATGGTCTGCATTATTTCCCCTTGTTCAGCTTCCATTTTGGCGCGCTTACAACTGCCTACAGCTTCAAAACAGCTTATAGTAGTTAAAGTGTAAGCGCTTTAAGCACGCGAGAGTCCGAACTGTACATACCGTAGTAAGGTGAGAGAATCAAACACAATTCAACTATCGTATTTTGGAAGAACTATCCGTTGTTACGAAATATATTTCTTTTTTACGTTATTAAATCTATTTACTAACGTTCCCGTGTTATCTTATAAGATTTAAAACACCTATCGGTTTATTTAATACATTATAGAATTTTGTTTGTGACCTGTATAGGCGCATTACGATAGTCAACGTGCTACAGAGGGAAAATAATCTTAATCTCATGTCGTAGTCAACATCTTATCACAGAACGTTGATCGCTAACTCTGCAAATTCGAAACTGAGGTACGATTACAAACTGCATTCGATATGATCTTACGAGTCTGCTCAGCCAGTGATATATTTTGTCTTCGCGGAGAAAACTGTGTTAATATCCTCGGAAGAAACGTTCGTAGGTAAAGCAATTTCTATGAAAATTCTTATATCTCGTATTCGATGAGAACGTTCGGCAGAAATTTGCTGGAAATATCAAACAGACAGATTATATCAGCATCAGCGTTAATACCTCAAGACCGATCGAACCCTGCCGCTTAAACGCTAATATCTAGGAAACTTTCATAATTCACCGACAAATAATCATTACGAAACTGACGGTGATAATATGTCGAACAAATATGGCATTAACACGTAGAACGATATATACGATGTGCAATAATTTTATTAGGCGCGGACACTGTCAACGAGAGGCATCGACGGCCATGTTGCGCGAAACGTGCGACGCGCGAATAAAGCACGGACGACCCAGTCGACGTGGCCGGAATCTTGTTTGCCTGTGTCGGCAGAGAAAATTACGTACGAGCGGTGTTTGAGCTCTTGTATTTGTGCGGTTGTCAGCTACTTTCAATTGTGTGTGTCCTACAGTGCCTCCTGCGGCGCGAATCCTGTTCGAAGAGGACCGATCCGGGCCAGGATAAATAACGAGGATATAGCGGTCGATTACATAGGAAAAATCGTAAGCACGCCGAGCACTTTACGATTCAATTCGCCGTGGTAAATCACGCGTGAACGAGAATCGATTTAATGTTCCTAATGCGCGTGCACGTGATGCGAACAATGCGCTACCCCGAAATACACGATGATGAATGAGCTTTACCCACCGGCGCACCGAAAGTTGATTATCGTCTAAAGATCCGGCGATCTATATGCCCGCGCTTACGTTTATACGGTACGTTCGCGCGCTTTTAGATCTTCGTAAATAAATATTAATAAAGGCTCCCGGGAACGATGGTACACTAACAGTATATCTCAGTAAATAGATTCACATCGCGTTAGCTAGCAAGCATTCTGTCGTTATTGTTGACTGATCTACCAGTTCCTGGAACTAGCTTTGTATCTGGAATAAACAAACTAACAGAGGTCCCTTATTTACGATGGGGGCTGACATTCGACCATCTAGAAATCACTAAAATACGAAACAAAGTTTGAAATTCCTAATTTTTATCCGTTTCCTGGGTTTACAATACAATTACGTGTATTGTTGAAAAGTACAAAAAGTTTCTGAGTTTATTGATACAACACAAAAGCTAAACACTGCTTAAGGTCGCGTCCATATCGAAAATGACAGGTATTCGTACCTCGCTCATACTTTATATTTCCTATAACTTTTCTTTATACTGGTTAATTGCACCAATTTTTAAACCTGACAATAAATGTGAGTTTATAAATTATATATCTGTTCCTCTATTCAATGTTATATCGAGGGTTTTTGTATTATCACGGACAAATCCTCTTCGCTTGTATCCACAATAATTTATAACAAGCACCACGGATTCACACTTTGACAATCTGTTAACAACCTCGCTTTGCATCTACATACCGACCACGCTTGACAATGGTCTCGAAATTCATGTCGTCTACACCGACTTTAGTAAAGCTTCTCACGCCGCTTGACGCGCTCCGTATTTTGAAAGTCCCGAATATGGCGAATCTGCATCGAAAAATAAATCCGCACATGTCCAAGCGTTTAGCTCATCAATATAAAAAATATGAGTCTATGTTTCGGTTCCCAAGACTTTTAAAGCAATTTTTAATTTCAATACACAAAATAACAATTTAAATTGTAACATAAATAACTTCAATAGCAAGTACAAACATATTCTAATTATAAGAATTCTATTCAAATGCTATTTACCGATTGCCTTTAAAAGGAAAAATCGCCATAAATAATGATGGAGATTATATAATCGTTTGAATGTAATTCTGTACTTTGTTAATAAATAAATAAAATACTGAATATAACCAAACTTATTTACGGTGCAACCACAAATTCTACGAATATTTTAACACTGTGAAATAAACGCGCTGACAGCTACTTTGAGCGTATTTAAATTAGTAATTCGTTACAGGTATTCAGCGACAACAATAAAGCGAACAAAACACGTAAAATAGAGCGATAGTAAGTTACTGCTTCGTAGGAGGAAATGCAAACGGTATTTCGAACGCACGCGTTTCGCGTGAAATTTCGTTGTAGCCACTTGAGCAGCCGCGTTCCTGTGATTGCACAATTACGAGCAGTGATTATTTGCTTTACCACAGTGTGTCACTGCTGCCTCGAACATTGTATTTTCCGTCCAATGGACGTACGACCGCAGTGACTTTTAATTATTCAATTAGCACACGTATTCCGTAAATTCCTACCGTGCACATCGCGATCTCGTTTAATTTCTAAACACTTCGGATAAACAGTCGTGCTCGCTCCGTTGTTGTCTTACCTTGCTACCAAAATTTATATCAACGCTGCGGGTTCTTCCCATTATTAATACTAGTGTCCACTCGGCTTTAATAAAGCAGTGCTCGACGACATTGGAAAACACAAGGGCGCAGATTTATTGAATGAAACGTCTGGTTTTAGAATTTAAGATTGCTTCGTTCCCTTCTAAAGTGCTTCATAAGCTGCTGAAGTGAGACGTTTGTGTCCGTGAGCAACCGCATTATGCACGAGTACGTAGACGCGAAGGTGAATGATGCATTCTAATGTACGTCTCACATTCGCGAACATGAAGTTGTTAATGCGTTTAAATTAGCTGTAACTATCTGTTACGGTTTATGAAGTTATTGCTCTATGGATTTGAATGATGCACGAAACATGCAAGTCCAAGTAGTTAGCACTCTAGATACTAGGTCGTTAACAGCGTGACATTCGTGAGAATATTCCGTCCGAGGATTAACGATACGTGTGCTGTTCTGCTATAAAATTTCAATCCTATTCGCAAAAAATTGCATCAAACGAAGATTAAACTTTCCACCAAATCTTTTAAGAAATACAAGAATGTTGATCTGACAATCAGATAGTATCGGTCATAATTAAACTAAATTTTTAAAACAGTATTGTCGTCAATTGACCATATCCACAATAAAATTTAATAGAAGTTTAGTGACAACATTAAGCGGGTCGCTATATTTATTTCTGAAAATAAGTTCAATCCGTATCAGTTGTTTGCCCGCTGGCTTTGCAGTAATCCACTGTTTACAGCCACATTCTGTAAAAGTTTGCTCGTCAGATACGCGTTGCTTTCGTACCGTTCTGCAGGGAACTTTTTCGCGAGGTTTTAATTTCCGACGTGAATTTATCTCGGGGTATTTTCGTTCTAACGCGTTAAAAACTAAAATGACGCACGTGCATGTCGTGCAAAACTTCATCTCAGCGTTAAAAGTGGAACGTTCTCGAATTTTTACATTCCACCTTAAAGCTCTCTGCACGCACTTCGACTCGGCGGTCACGTATTAATACGGAAAGCCGTGAGATTGACCCGGCGCATACAGACACAACTACCGAACCAGCGAACATTTCGATTCAATTCTTAGATTCTCAAACCACGCGGTGAACGTTACGCAAACTTTCCCGGAAAGTAGACGGTGCATGCGAATGCCTCCCGAGAAACCAATAGAAGTTCTTACTTTGATGCCTGAGGCGAATTCGAAGGATAATTGAACGAGTTCGAGTACGTTTCGCGAATTTTTGAGTATACTCCTACCACGTACCTTGACCGACCGCAATCCCTTCGATAACCAGCAGAAAACCAGCGAGTATCAGTACAGCGAGCCAGCGACACAGCATTTTTAACACGTCTTTCACTCGTTTCACTGTCGATCGTTTCCTGGTCGAATCGTTTCTGCTTCCCTCAGCGCGCACAACAGCGAATCAAAATCGACGATATATCCGGGTTGAATCGACTTTAAAATCGATGCTTCGATTGATGTTCCGCCCTTCTGGTTTCCCTTGAACCTTTCACACGCTACCCTTGACACACACTCTACGTACAGTATTATGCAACTTGCTCCAGTTATCGTATCCACGAATCCAGACACTGTGTCAGATATCCACTAAAATATGTGAATCCACGGTCTAATGAAAGTCATCGATCATCCCTGCTTTCACTGTCGCGGACACCGTAGCTGGCAATAGCGAGTGGATTTCACCACGGAACGAAACCTGTCCACGTTGTCCAGGGTATACTTCCTCGATGTGTATCCAAGTTCTCCGTCGTTACAGGACGATGCTCCTCGGAACGATCCACCGACAAAGTCACGTAGCAACGCACCATGGAGATCCAGAGACCCGGAAATAAATCGCGCGTCAAGAGTCTTGCAGACGGATGTCCGCAGGGTGTCCAGAAACACTCGTAGGACACTCGCAGATGTATGCATTAATGTCAACGCACCAACTGTTACGCGAAACGCTCAAACGCGTCGTTGAGCCTGTGCGGCGACGAAACCGACTTCTGATCCCGCGGAACCGTGCTGAAAGCTACGCTCCGAGCGTTGCTCGATCTCGCGCGAATCACTCGCGATCATCGTCACGATTTCCACGCAATTGTCGCCGGCTAATTGCATCTTTCGGCTCGTTTCTCTGTTCTAATTTGTCGCGAGGACCGGTACCAAGACATTCGTTCGACGAACGCGGGACAATGGATTCGCGGTTCGCGAATGATCGGTCCGCGACCACGTCCGATCCGCGAAAAAACGCACGAGGGCACGCGATACTGAGGCGTCTTCGTCGTCCTCGTCGTCGGCGTCCCACGCGACGACGTTGAACGCACATGGACTAGCCGCGTATACACGGATGGGATGCCGCTCGGCGTCGCGGCGCGAAGTGATTCTGCGGGACTATTCCTAGGACGCGCATGCGCCCACCATTTACTGCGAAACCAGACGCGGACGTATTACGCGCAGACCACTTCTACTTCACGCGTTCAAGGGGCGACTGCTTCGATGCAGCGGTGCAGGAATGCACGTCGGGGCTGCTTGTCGTCGGGTCAGCTGCTACAGAGCCCTCCGCCGCGATAGAATCTTTGAGGGTATCGTTGCAGAAGATCCAGTCTTTGAAAAAGATCTCGAGAATTCTTGCCTCGAATGCATGGGATCGGAAAATAATTATACCGGGCTTGTCAGGATTCGGAACTTACTGTGCACTTGTACGCCACTGGACGTATTAATTGCATCGGTTGTATGCTACTGGAAATATATCAAACACAAAGTTCTATGATTTTGTTAATATTCGTCTAAGATTAGAAATCGAATCCTTGATGACACCTTTGGATGACCGTGCGAGTCAAATGTTTAAGATCCTCCCTTAAAGAAGGCGTTGTCAAATTGCACAAGTAGCTTGATACTCCACAATTTGTTGGATATATTATTACAAAGTGTGATCATTTCCAAAAAGTTAAAAATCAGACTTGGATTAAAACAACGTGGTAATTCAAGCAAGGGAAATGTGGATTATGCCAAATATTTCTCTTACTCGTTGGCCGTTTGAAAGGTGGCTAAAATATCTGATCCAACACGATTCGCAATTTCTATACACTGACGTTTAATTTTCTCTTTGTTAAAAAAGTTAATAAACGGGTACATACGAACTTCTTGATGGAAAAAAGAATTGAATAGAATAAAACTTTATTTGATATGTGAATACGTATAGAGGTAGTTCTCGCTTTATAAGTTTTCATTTTACGAATTCTTGACTTGATATGATAGAATTTTTAAACGGGGACAGTTAATTCTGAGGAACAACATATACGTTTGTTAGATTGCACTTATGGAATAAGAGTTCTCGTTCTACTTTACAAAAAATAGATTGCGTTAAATTAATTCGTAAAAACAAGAACTATCTGTACGAGTTAAAAAAGTCAATATCAAGTAGGGGCATAATTGTATACATATGAGTTCACGTAACTAAAAACCTCAGAAATCCTAAATATCCTAATTAAAAACGAAACACATTTGAGTGCACGTGAGCAATATAACGAATTGCGATCGAAATAATTCAAACCTTGGCTAAGCCGTTATGCCTGACAGAAGAAATATACTAGTACCGAATGTTATAAAATAATATCGGAGCGTTGGATGTAATGTACGTTTGAGAAGTCAAATATCGATTATCGAAATCGCTTTTGCTCGGTAATACATTCTCGACGAGTTATACGATTAACTGCAATCAATGGTAAGCGGCAAGTCAGAAATTTATGCTCCCTCAGCTCTAAAGAAAAATATGAAAAGCATCTAGGAAGAAGCTATGGAATCCGCGGGCATTTTGCACGAATCCAACATAAATTATCCCCCACGTTCGTCATAAATGTACAGACTGCATAAAGCTTTCGTTATCGCGGCTTTTACGTTAAATCCAACCGGCCATCCGCAGCACGTTGCATTTAAGAACGGCACAAGACGCACGCTAATCTTCACGTTCCTCTTCTTAATCATAGGATTTTAAGGAAAGAAAGTGCTACGCCATATTACCGTCCAGTATGCCAGCCAGGTTTCCTCCTTGACTTAGGAGGAAAGCTCCGTCGAAAAAACTTCTCCTGGTTACTACGTTTCAATCCCTTTTGAACGCTTGAATTAGGCCTTTCTCCGGGTTTCTTCTTGAACGTTGTGCCACGGAAACAGTAATAAATTTTCTCGGAACGCGTGTTACGTAGATATCGTTGAACGTTGCATTCAGACTGTGCTTTTCAATTCGCATCCCCAACGATTCCGACTCGTATTTGTGATTCATACGAACGCGCGAAATTTTCAAAGGTTTCGTTAACGAGTTTTAGCAATTCCAGTTGGCGTTTTGAAAATTGCCCGCGTTTTAATAACGCGTGCTACGCTTCGAGGACATTAACACCACCCACCGTATACATAGGGAGCGTGGGCGTCGCTGCATAGTTGGCAACGGATTTCGCGCCTATAAATTTCTGTAAACAGGAACCGATTACGCTTCGCTATCAATGTGTTGCAGTTTGGCAACACTAGCTGACTCTTGTGAGAGTTCGATAATTCGTAGACCAGGCGCAAACAATTATGGCTGGCAGCAAGGCTCGTTGCAAGAAATATCATTTGTACCTGGAACTTCGTATCAGTTATCGGCCTTGCGCGCTCGTAAATATTACTTTGAGAGATTTAGAATCATTCGAAGGAACAGCTACAAATAGCGATAGCTGCGCGGTTCAGTATTTAAAAATGGCTCTTGCTATGAACAAAACGATGACGGAAAAAATGAATTTGAAGATCAATTTGATTTATGATCAATATTCACCTTCGTAACTTTTAGTTCGAGAAACATATTTCGTTTCGCTCGACCAGTTGATAATGATGCCTTTGGTTAAAGAGGAATAGCTATCCGCAACTATTGGATTAGTGGGTCCTGCCTTACGATTTGGATTATCTTACTTGTCCAGAAAGATGCTCTCTTCATTTTTGACTTCTTCTTTTAGCTGCTGTTCGAATAACGTCGAATCCCTTGAAATGGAATGCTCACTTTCTTTCAGTCACGTTATCAGTCTATCGCGCTGATTTTCCAAACGGCTTTAGAAGCTTCCGTGTACACGCTGGCTCGGCTTTTGCGAATCAATGTAAAAGGATAGGTACCAGCTTGTGCTTGGAAACACCTTTCACGTGGGATTGATCGAACGGATCTGGAGCAGAATGTTCTGCGTGTTACACGCCGGTACGGGCGAGCATACGTACGCCGCCCATGGTGGTCTTCGTTACTGTGCGTTGCTGGTACTCTCACGGTTTGTCGAGACGATCTCAGTATGTGCTTGAACTAACGAGAGAAACTGATGTCGATTTAGTGATAACGGAATGCCGGATGGGACAAACCCAATCGAATAAGAAGATGAATTTGAGCAGGCATCGATGCTGCATCATTAGAAACATGAGTACTATAGGATTGGCATCATTAGGTGCAAATGAATCGTACACGAAACTGTAGTTACGGTTTCAGCCCTGATACGTGTCCTCTTTAGAGTCTTTATTTATTGAGTTTGCTATGAAGGAGGAAGGTGCACGTTAAACAGCCCCCAGCTGTACAAGAAGAACCAAAACTGGGCGGAAAAGAAGTTGTTTTTTAAATTAAAAATCTTTTGAAATAATAAAATGAATTTCTTTGAACTGTTGAGAATAAAGTTTTTTCAGAGATATCGTAGACAAATTCAATCGATAAGTTCTAGGGAAAACTTGGCTATATTCAAGTAAGTGAATCTAGGTTCGTGTCGAAGGTAACGAGACGAGGAGAATCGTCCATGTAAGTTGCCGCTGTGAAGGGTTATCAAATGGTTTGCCGCCTTTTCCTCCTTCGGTGATTTTCTTCGGCCCATTGGCAAGAAAGGACTTGCAAACGATTGTCAGCAAGGCAATTGAGCTTAAACAACGAGGACGTTGAGAACGTGCATTGGAATTAGAGGGTTTAAAGGGAAAATCGAGTGAAAGTTCTATCTTCCGTCATGGTTGGAAACGATGACCAAGGCTTTTCTTGGGGAAAAAGAACGACGAACTTGATCTCTTCGTATTTTTAACGCGAGAATTAAAATTCTTCTTCTAGGGCTTACGGATTCTTTAAACAAACATTCAAGCATCTTCTAAAATCTCTAAAATTGGCAACGATGAAATAGTATTCTGAATATCCTTATGGTGACGAAAATTTTTCAATGTTTACTGGACTGTTTATAATATAATTTTATCGAATTCAAACATCCATGTTGATACTGTCTTCATGAATACATAGCTTTTTTGTGTGCTCTTCCAAGTCGCAGACTATTTTTCCTCCAAATCGATCCAATCTATAGACTGAAGAAGCTTGAGAAATGGTGTACGCCACTCCTTAATATATTCAATGCAGGCGTCATAAAAATCTACTGCATAACTTTTCAACTTTTCGACTTTTGTATGGCCTTCTCTTTCTAATTTTTCAAACTGATTCCTAGAACTAAAAAACTTTTCTGCCTTCCTGTAATTTAACTTTTACAACGATTTCTTTACTTCGTTCCTCGTTTCAATTGCGGTCATTTCTTGCTTTCCAACGCATTTTATGGTTCAGAAAAGATTTTTAACTGGCTGGCAAAAAAACGTAAGAGTGCAATTGTAGCCTGCACAGTATTATGCATCACATGTGCAGAACAACCAATACAAATTAAATTGTTCAGAGTGTTTACCAATTGTTTTTTCCATTTGTCCTATTTGCTGATGAAGGAATAACTCTTTCAAGAAGATCAACTTCTACATATAAAACTTCCAAATTATGAAAACGTAACAGTTCTGAAGTTTTATTGCCTAAATTAACTAACTCCAATGCTCTCACATTTAACTTCGTTTTTCTGCTTGCTAATATCTCACAACTAGAAGTACTCACTTTCTGTTCAAGTAGTTTGATAACAATGCAACAACA